TTGGGCACCTTTGTCTAGTATGCGATAATTGTATTTATGTGGGTTTGTCTCTGTGTCTTCTATTTTGTACCATTGGTCTACATGTCTGTTTTGGTGCCAATACCATGCCATTTTTGTTACAATGGCTCTGTAGTATAGTTTAAGTTCTGGTATTGTGATGCCTCCTGCTTCACTCTTCTTGCTAAGGATTGCTTTAGGTATTTTTAACAGACCAAGACTCCATTGTACCCGCTTCAGGTTAACTTCGCTCAGGAACGTAACCATTCTGAAGTCCTTTACATAAGTTAATTTTGCTGTTCTTTTTTGAAGTGCTGGGGATTGAACCCAGGCCCTTGTGCTTGCTAGGCAAAGCTCAACCACTGAGGTTACCCCCAGCCCTTGTGTATGCTGGGGGCTGAAGGCGAGGGCTCAACCCCTGAACTATATGTATCAGCCCTTGCCCTGTTCTGGAACACCATGTCAATGGCCTCCTGCAGTCTGTATTCTTTTGCTCAACATTATGCCTATGATAATTAGCTCTGTTGTTACAGTGTAGCAATAGTGTATTCTTTTTTGTTGTAGTATAGCATTCCATTGTCTGAATATACCATGATTGATTTATCCATTCTAAAGTTGAGAGAACATTTGGGTGATTTCCTGCTTGGGGCTTTTGTGAATAGAGTTCTAGTAAATAGTCCTGCATGTGTGTTTTGGTTGACATAAGCACTCATCTCTGTTATGTGTATCCCCAGAAATGGAATTGCCATGTTATTAGTTAATACATGATTAGCTTATGAATTGTACAAAGACTCTAGTACTCCTGTGGAAAGTGACTGATTTATGCCAGGACTAGGCACCTCTGCACCAAAGGCCTGCACTACCACCTCACAGCTCTGTGCTGTTACTCACCATCTCTACTTAATAACCATGCTTATCTTGGTTCCACTGGCTGCTGCAGTGTCCTTTATCTGGCATCAGAGTGCCATAAGAGAAGAGCATGAAGTGGTGACAAAGTACTAGGCTGAATGGCTGGAGATCTGGAATCCTGCCAGGTTCTGATGTAATTAGGCTTTGTGGCTTTGGGCAACTCAGATAGCCTCTCTGGTGCTCAGCTCCTTCATATTGGAAAAGAAAGAGGAGATTAGATGGCTGACAAAGTCATTTCCAGTTGAAATCCCTTGACTCCAAATACAAGAAAACACTGTCCTGTGTCTTGTTCCAGTGGAGAGTTGCACTTGGCTTTGGAACATGGGAGTAAAAACAGTTTCCCTGGAGCCACAATGTGTCCACTTTGGATGCTCCCCCTCCCTGAACTGGGACTAAAGTGGATTCAAACAAGGCAGCACACTTGGGTGAAGACCAGTTGTGTACAGTGTGTACTTGGGGACGTTTCTACACTATTAGCATCAGTAAACAGGCATTTCTCTGCCTGTCCAACGTCGTAGCAGAAGTGCTTATATAACCTTGACGCATTTCAAGCATCTGTTATTTGGAAAGTAAAGAGGCTAACAACCTGTGTTTCAGAAATCTCTCAAGTTCCATGACAGGTAGATATTGTTAAAGGGTTAGGAGAATGTCCCTGTACTTTGAAGTAAAAATGGCTTGAGAATTCATCAAGGCCAGAGGAGCCATTTGGGAGAGATGACAGATGGGATGTTTGTGCTTGTTTAAGGAACAGGGATGAGAAATGAGTCTCTTCTGACTTGTGCTCTGCTCGTCAGAGATGATCACTCTAAATCCAACACAAAGGAAATCAAAGGGCCTTGAGACCTATACAGGTTTGAGCTTGGATGAGACGGGGCTGGACTGGGTTTGCCTGTCACCCTTTGGGCACACCTCACACACTCATCCCTCCTTCCATGTCCTCACGCCAGACTCAATATTTCAGCCACTGAATTTTGGTGAAGATACAATGAGGAGAAAAGAAATGAGATGTCAGAGAAAACACCTAAAAGCAAAATAAAATAAAATAAAATAAAAATAATAGAAGAATGTCCAGGAAATGTCAGAAAGTGGCCTTTGGAAAACCTGCTCTAAATTTGGTGAGGCTTTCTAAAATAAACTTTATACCAGAGGTACCAGGAAATCTTTGTGCATTGCTATGTTATGATGCTGTATAAAACTTATTTTTTCTACAAAGTGTTAAGTGAGGTTCATTAAGGTCCCCAGAGCTCATTCTACCACATGTTAGGGCATAGCATATAAAATTTGCCACAAACAAGAAATTAGTAGCAAAGGTACTGTTAAGTGGAAGTCAAAGACTGAAGGAGAGTGCTCTGAGATGTAGGGACCTCTGCCTCATGATTTTCCTGGATGCATGGACAGTGCAATGATTAGTTCTTGGAAGTACCACAGGGAGATTTTGTGATTCATGCTATTACTGTTTATTTTGTTGTATGCTGGAAGATACATCTTTATACTGCACTTGCAAATGCCTTCTAATTATTGCTGACTTGTTTTATGCTATTTTGAGTTTTTAATCTCTTCAAGTGTGCTGCTCAAAATTCTTGTATTCAAAACATGTCACAGAAGCACATGTGCATGCATACGTACGCACAAAGGCACACAGTGAGAACTACTATTTTAGGGCTTCGTTGTTTTTTATGGGATTCGATATACCATAATTGAGGGGAAAAGTTTTAGAGCTGATGTTCTGTTATGACTTGTCAAACATATCTTAGTCCATGTTTTCAGAATGTGCTTCTATTGATTGCACTCCATATCAAGCTCTTTTCAGTGATTTCCATTGGTCTGCTATAACTATGGCAACTTCTATGGCCTACATTTACTAGGATGATCCTGATTTCAAGGACTGATTTAATTGTCTCTATAAGTACACAAATAATAGAGCAATTGCTCCAGTTTTTAGCTCAGAAAATATGATTGTAATATCTGTATTCTATTTCAGCATAGGTCATAGAGTACAAGTGCTCTGACATGCAGCTGAAATGCTACTCAGAAGAGCTGGGGAGAGGGCTCTTGTGTGTGATGAACAGCACCATAATTAGGCTTTCTGGCTGGGGACCAGAAACACGTCTCTCTCTTCCCTGATAACTCATGTATCATTGTTTCTGCTTTTACCACTCCTTTCCATCGATCTCTTCCTTCACTGCCACCTACTATGCCAGGGACAGTCTAGTGATATGTGAAGGAGTAGCTGAAGAGGGGATTTTGCCTTTAGCAGGTTTTTGCTTAAACTTGGCATTTAAAAATCAGAGTAAAAAGCACAAGCCTTCCCACCTGAGACCTCTAATTCTGTTTGAGGGATTTGAAAGTATAGGTGATTTTTTTTTTCAGGTGAGGGTAATAATTAGAGATGATTGGAAGTCTTCTTCCCTCCCCTCCTTCTTCCTCCTTTACTTCCTTCCCTCTCTCCTTCTTCTCTTTCTCTCCTTGGTTCCTTTGGAAAATATTGATATATGCTGTCTTCCATCAGAATATATATATTTATATATTGACTTATATACTTATATATTTGGTTGAAAGAACACATTTAATATTCTAAGTAGGTAAATATAGTCAAGATAACAAGTGATCCCTTTATCTAAAAACACTTTTATCTCCAAGAAACCTTTGAGCACTATTGAGCATCCTTGTATGTAGAATCTCCAATATGAGCCATGTATTGGAGGAATAAGTGACATATGTTTGTGGAAGGGGAGATCCCAAAGAAATGAAAGATAATCCCTGGGGATTTTAGTTCCTTGTTGAGAAAAGATTTAAACATATTATATAATTTAAAAACAAGTGCAAAGTAGCATGTAGTCTCAAAACTGCAAAAGAACAAAATAATCTAGGTGCATATATGTTGAAAAGAACAAAATAATGAGATGTAATAAAAACTCTTCTATTGGCCACAAATATAGAAATGAAAAAGACAAAACCACATAAAGGTCTAATAATAACAGATCAGCACAATTGAAGCTCAAAAATGTTAATGCTTTGTTGAATAACATAAGGAATGCCTTGGTATGTCATGGCTCTAATGTTGAAAGGGACCAACTGAAAATAGTACCATCATTCACTTAACATTTTCCTTCCCTTCCTTTTCTTTCCCTTTTTTGTGATCTGGGGATTGAATCTGAGGCCTTGCACATGATGCTACCAAGCTATGCCCCCAGACCCATTCACCTAATTTCTAGAGAATACATCTGCTTCTGTAAGTCTAAGGTGATATGGCTAAATGTACATGTAGCAGAATGTTTAGAAAAAAAATAATTAAATGTGTACAAAAATGACCTAAATATTAGTTTGGTCTTGCAGAGGTGACATATGAAACTAGAAACTTTCCAAATAAATCATCGCAGCTTGATGTGATGTAGTTTTAGTCTCTCCACTAATTTATGCCATCTTTGGCAAGCACTTAACTTTTCTCTGCCTAACCATATTATGGTCCACCTTATGTAACTGAAGTGACACCCATGTTGAAAGTGAATGCTCTACTTGTTTGATGCAAAATCAGCATTAAAAATTGTACTTCATAGAAAGAAATAAAACAAGTATTTTATACAGTTCACGAGATAGGGACATTGGCCATTTTTTTTTTTTTAATGTCTAAGACTAAAATATTCTAAATTTTGTGTCGGGGATTTGCATGCAGTATTTAAGAACAGCTCCATTAGGGGAGTGCCTCGCTCATCCAACTTCAAATTTCTTAAAGAGAGAGTTTAAGTCTTTGAACTCAGCAACTTCAGTTTCTAGATAATGTCTTTAAATCTCCATTGCTGGATGAATGAACTTCCTTGAAAGTTGACGAGTGACAAGGCTTTAGAGCTGCCAAGACTACAACTCCCAGAATGCCGCACTTCCCTGGCACTCTCGAGACCGAGGCGAGTACGCCCCAGCACCCATCGCGTCAGCTCGAGACTACAATTCCCAATACACTCAGGGGCTTCGGAAACCTTGTCAAATACCACCTGTTGCCATAGCATCCGGGTCCGGGCCAACCAATCATGGCTCCCCCGCTGAGTAGAGGCGGGCCTTTCGGATCTCCGACCAACACTAGGGGGTTTTGCTATGGCGCGTGACCGGAGGAGGCGGGAGCTCGGGACCGGCGCCTTCTCCTTGCTTTTTGGGGTCGTGGCCTTGCTCCTGCTGGGCAAGGGAAGTGTCCCGGCTCCTCCACCCGCGTGAGTGCGCGGGGGCCCTGAAGAACTCGTGGGTCCGCGCTAGGACTGCGGGGGCAGAAGCAGGAGCCATGGGTGGGACCGCCAGCACTCGCCGGGTCACCTTCGAGGCGGACGAGAATGAGAACATCACCGTGGTGAAGGGCATCCGGGTGAGTTTAGTGGGCGGGCGGAGGGCCAGCACTCCGACTGGGACCCCAGCGCCCCGAGGTCCCCGGGACCCGCTCCGCTCGGTGTCTCCCTGTCCCGCCCCCGTGTTTGTCCCACCCGAAGCCTGGAAGAAGCCCGTAGTTTCCAGACTCGGGACATTCATTCAGAAAGAGTTCCTGGTTGTGCGCCAAGTGCCCGGCACTGTGCGGGGCCGGGTGGGGCATGCCTGGTTGAACGGGACCCTCCAGGGCTCACCGCCTGGCCTGACCTGCACTGCTCACTAGTTGCAGGACTTTGGCACTCCCCGCGCCTGCCGTGGGACGGGTCGTGTCTTACTGCTCCTGTATCCAGGACCCGAGCCCTGCATTCCCACGCCTACATCATCTCTCAGGGTGAATTGGCGTTTTAAGGATCACTTTAATTTGCTTTCTGCCATTTAATGTTTTCCTTCGGATACCACCCCTTTCCCCATCACACACACACACACACACACACACACACACACACACACACACACACACGCACCCCTCCCCCTTTCTCGCCTGCCTCTGTGACTTCTGACTCCTCCCTCCTTCACTTTCATCTGATATCTGGTTTTTCCCAGGAGCCTTCTCTGTGGCCTGCTGTGCCTACGTTTTTTGGACTAGTCCCAGTTACTTCAGGCCTACTGTCAGCCAGCCTGATGGGGGCTGAGATAGGTTGGAAATTCTCCAGGCCAGTAGAAGTTAATAGAGTCAGTTCTGACCGAGACGTTGTAAGGGAATTTTTTTATGCCCTCTGCATGTACTTGATACGTAAACTGAAAACTTGATTTTTCTCTAGGGTGTCAGTAAACCAGCACTAACTTCATTAACACACTCTCCGCTGCACCTGAATTTGGAGCTTCACATTTTTGGAAGTATGATGCCTGAACGTAGTAAATAAAGCACTTTTGACTTCAGGAAAGTTTTATGATACTTTATATTTTTTCTTCCTCTGTTATTACACAGCCAGCTTTACTAAATTAAATGTGTGAATTCCTTTTAGCAATTGTTATTAGGAAATAAAACTTTTTATATATTGAAAGTGTTTAAAACCTTTTTCCTTTGCTACTGTTAACCTTGAAAAGAGTTTATTAAAGTTTTCTTTTAGAAACTCAGACTGTTGAACTGTTTTTGGTCTTTGACCAGCATTGCTTTCTATAAAATATTAATAAATGGTAGTACTACATTTTGTTAAAAAAATATTCAGGTTGCATTCTTTGCAGTATTGTGGTTGGTACTCTTTGGAGTAAAATAAACATTGCTGTAAACTCTTGTTTTATGGAGAGATTTTTAAAATCTTAAGTCTTGACTATTCCACACTGGAGGGTGAAAATGGCTTAAAAGAAAAAGCAAAATAAGTTCTGGGTGTGAAGATTGTAGAAAAATGCAAAAATCCATATTTTCATGCTGTAGTACAGACACAACAGTGACAACAAACCAAATTGAAAGAGAATTTGGTCATAGCAGAGATTCATGTCAAATGTTAGATAAGGTTGAATAGAATAAGTATGACAATAGGGATATGTATGGATTCAAAAGGTAAGGTTGTTTATAAAACCTTTTTAAAGAACATTAAAAAAAAAAAAAGAAACTGTGTCCTTTGGCCCCACCACTTGACAGAAGCTTTCTTTTTTTTTTCTTTCTCATATAATACATTTTATCTATGTTATAATTTAAAAAGAAACTTTGTCTTTTGGCCTCACATCTTGACAGAAGCTTTCTTTGTTTTTTTCTCTCTCTACAATACATTTTATCTATGTTGTCATAATTCAAGTACACTCTATGCTCATTTTTGACTTCTTTACTTTTCTTCAGAATGTACCCTTCACCTGGAATGCCCTTGCACTGTTCTCCATTGCTTCAAATCCTTCTTTTTCAAGGATGATTTGCAATCTCTTTGTGCTTCAGTTTTCTCATCAGCAAAATGATAGCTGAGTACAGATCTGTGATTTCAGTTTTGAAATGTGGTGAGCCTAGTGGCAGTGTAAGTTCTTGTAGCCATACTTAGCCTGTTACAGTTTCCTCCAAAAGTGTCATGTTGTTAACTGCTGAGTACTCAGAGGTCATTCTGATTTCTTTGAGGTCATGGTCAAAAGAATATCAACTAGGAATTAGACTGACCTCCTTGTAAATCTTACATGTTAGTTTGTGGTCGTGGATAAGTCACTTCTCGGAGAATATACCCTTATTTTTAAAGGCATGTACCATCACTTCCTTTGATTGGTTAGGGTAATAACCTGAGGTAAGGTCTGTGAAGCATCTTAAGATTCCTGTCACATGGAAAAAGAAAAGAGTCTAAGATTCTTTGAAAGCACTGTGTAGTGTAGAAAAAGCATGTGCTTTGAAATCAAAAAGACCTGGGTTTGGATCCTAGCTCTGCTTTGGTAGCTATGTATCCCTGGACAAGTCACTTTTAATTATGTTTCTTTCTTCAGTGTGTCTGGATAATAGAGCCTACTAGTGAGAATTTGACATGTGGATGCATTTAGCGCAGTGCCTAGTGTCAAACAGTGTTTGCTGAATAGTAGCCATTACTAGAACTGTTTTAAGAGGACAGATGCATAAACTTACATGACCCTAAGGTAGGTAAAAATAAGACCATGTTGTGCCACTAGTGAACTTAATGGCACAAGGACTGGATATTGGGAGTCCAGTGTGATTTGTTTTTAGATACTTTGTAGATTTATTTTAGTTGATCCTTACATTTTTCTTGGCTTAAAACAGCCATATTGTTTTCTTCCGAGTCATGGGGAACAGCACTATGGGTATGTAAGCAAGGCATTGTCTTTAGCTCAGTTGGTTAAAACATGGCACTGAAGAAAACTTTACCACTTTGATTAATTTTCTAATGTTTAAGTCATTGATTATGGAAAATATAAATACATGTTCTGTAGCATCAGTCACTGCTGGAAAACCAATTCTGTTCCACTGATTAGGATAGTAATTTCATCTTCACTTACTACAGTAAATAACATTTAGTAAGCTTTTTGTAACTAAGCCAAGTTTATTGATAGATAATGTTTTTTCATATTTTTCTTGCTGAGGTCCCAAACAACTAGCAATTAAAGAACCTATTTACAATTTTAAGTTTAAAATTTCTTCTCACCTAGCAGGTGTTTTCATCATAGGGTCTGTTTATTTTCTTTATCCTTAGCAATTGTTAGCTTTTTTTCCCTTCTTCTATAAATAACCAATATTCTTGAGTCTGAAACTATTCATATGGGTTTGATGAAGGGACCCCCTCTTGCTTTGCCCTCTTCTCCAAGTCCAAAATAAGCTACTAGTGATAGAAATACCAAGCATTTTTATTACTCATATTACATGTGCTTAATAGGATTTTTGTGACCACCTGCTGTGCCTGCTTGGAAAGTATGCTTATGACCCAGTCTTTCACAGGTTTATCTGAAACATCAAAGCTGTGAGTGATCTCTTCTAGAGCAAATGTCAACTTCAATGGGTATCACTTTCAAAAGTAAGACTTATCATGGTTTCCAGGCATAAATGAATCTCTGCAGTTGGCATTGAAGTTCAAGCTAAAATTCACAGGAGCAAGTTGTGGCAATATGGATACTTACAAGGAGCACATCTTTTGCTTTGGGAGATATTGACAGTTGAGAGCCCCTAAATGAAGAGATTCCTTAATGGGGTGTTATACAGGCTGAATGACAAATTCGTTCTGTCAGCCTTTGGGATTGTTGAGAATGTTGCACAAATAATTCAGTTAACTAATAGATGATTGGTCCCTTTAACTGAGGATTCTGTGACTCTTGTGCATAGTACCTTCTTAATCTTTCTAGGATTTAATAAAGACAGAAGTTCATGGTGTCTTCTAATGACAAATGCAAAAAAGATACAGGTGACAAACTATAAAGCCAAGAATTATGTATTTTATAGGTATGGTATTCACAGCTGTGCCCTATGCCCTTGAAAGTTTGGGAGTGATTTCTGTCAAATGATAATAGCAGTTTTTGGAGACTATGTCTTAAAGTAGTTGAAAAGTGACACAAAAAATGACCTGTGCTCTGTGGAAGACCAAGAGAGAAAAATGGGTCTGAGTTCATTCGTCACTTTGATGACACATCTGGAAGAAAATAAAAACTATCATGGGGGTGAGGGTCTGGTTTGGTTCTGTCTGTCGTGGTTCCTGACTTGGGCTTTCAGAGAAGGACAATATAAGAGGAGTTCTTGCTTCCTTTTACTCTGTTCCTTGGGAGCAGAATACTTAATTTTTGCTGCTCTAACCAAGTCTCCAGTCTGAGAAAATACTGGATTTTTTAATTGGTGGGTGGTATGTTTGTGCTAATTTTTGGATAAGACCAAACAAGGTGGGTGGAAAAACTAGAAGATGACACACATCCTCCCTCTGGAGTGCGCTGGTGCGGTGAGTAATACCCATTTCAACTTGGCTTAAAATTGGTTTTAGGAGCTGTGGAGAGCAGGTTGGATAGGCAAGGTCAGCTGGTTGAATGTCAGCAGGCCTGCTCTCTTGATTGCCTCATATATTAGAAGCATAGTTCTTAACTTCTTTTAGTTAATAGACCACTGTATATCTATCTGTGATCAGTGAACTCTGCCCAGAATAATGCAGTAAGCAAACAATTTTGCATACACTGAAGAATTAGTCCATGGACCCAGTTGTAGTTCATAGACTTCTGAGTATATTCTTAGCATCAATATATTGTGTGGGTGTTATTTCACTACTCTTTGATATAAATAATTTCCATAAATTGTACTTGATATTTGCCTTAGAAATTCCAGATATGAGTGGAAAGCAAGTATAATATAAGTATAGATCAATAAATAGGAAAAACCTTTTCTAAAAGGCATGTCTTGTTATGAAAGCTGCATTTCCTGGAGAAGTTGCTTCTTGCAGAGGCTGCCTGTCTAGCTCTTGCAGAAGCTTGTGCTGTACCGTTGAGTCCCCATCCCCGCTTTGGGTCAGTTTTTGTCACACATCAGAGTTATTCTACAGCTGCAGA